TGGTTCAGGAACAAAGTATAGAGCCAATGTCCTCCGATGCAAGCAGCCATTGAAGTTTCAAGAATATAGTTTCATGTTTACTTTATAATCTATCTTTCCCTGGCCACAAAGAAGGTTATTCAGATTTTCTTATTCCTTAAATAGCTATATTAATGTCTAAGGATTGACAGACACCCAGGCATCTGAGGGAATACACCGAATACATTTCAACTCTTACTATCTTGGCCCTTTTATCTCCCCTGGAGACAAACTGATTCCTACCTTGACCTGGGCAGCCATGTTCTGAGCAATGTTCAGCTCCAGTTCAGAGTGCCTCCTCTTCATATTCTGGAGTTGCTGGTCGGCATCCTGGAGATAAATCCACAGCTCAGCCTTCAGGTGCTTGATCTCCTCCCAGCCTTGAGTTAAGTTCTGTGCCTGGACAAGCCTTTGTTCAACCTCGAGAAAGCACAGGGATAGACATCAGCAGCCATAGATGGAAACATTTGTGGGTAAAGGCTTAGAGAAGCAACTCTTCAGCTGCTGTGCCTGCTCAGACTGATACATAAGCAAGTGCACACACAGACACACGCAGCGGTAAATCTAAAAGCACTTCTTTATTTGCTTCAAGAAGCGTGGATTTTCTTTTACATTTAGTGTTTCTAAAGACTTTAAAAGTCTTAGAGTTATGCCGCATGATTTTAATCAGTATTGTGAAGCCCTAATAAGTTTTAACAATCCATTAGGTCAAAAGTTGCCCTCACGGTTTTCACACTGAGTGTTGTAGTGGACGCATCTGTGTGACTGCCTCATGAATTTGGAATTGGGGTTAACTAAAAAAGACATATTTTTCTCTATTGTACATTTATTTATCCATCTTTTAAAATGCTGACTTATTAATGTTTTGAATATATCTTTAGATCTGCTTTGCTGGCTTTTGAAACTGTATAATTTGTTTCAATAAATCATTTCTGTTAAAAAATATGGATCATATTATCTTTTGTAAGGATTAAAGAGAGGTTTGTTTTGAAATTTTAATATAAAAGAGAAAAACCTTATTATTTTAAGACATTTTTGTTTGGATCATTTTATTTATGTGAATATTTAATAAACAGAATACCAAAACCAATCTTATTTTCTTTTTAAACCCAAATGTGTTTCACTAGTTTAAGGCTGCAGCAGCAGTGGTGGTGAGCATACAGCCCCTGTGCTGTCACCTGCCTGTGGGGACAGGTACTGCTAACTCATCACCACGCTTTCTGCTAAGCCCAGCTACAGTTTCAGAATCTTTCCCAACACCACACTTGACAGCCACTACCAATGAATTTGAAGGATCATGACGGATGGCATGCTCTTTGGCATCCCTGGTATCATAAAGCAAGGATCAAGAGCCCCGTTCATATTAAGTATTACTAAGGAAGGAGAAAAGAACAAAAAAAGTGTGGAAAAAATAGGAAAAGAGGAAAAGAGAGTGGTAATTAAGGAGAAAAGAGGAAAGAGTGCTAACGGGTAGCAGTTGAATGGGGCCAAATGATTCAGTTTCAATTTAGGGTCATCACTGTCAGAGAATGCTTACTTTTCTATGACTTAGTTGAAACTCAAGTATCTATTATAATGGCCATGGAAGCATTAGAGCAAGAACAAGTCAAGAGATATTTTCTTCAATCTCACATATAACATTTAAGCAAGAGAATATAATAAAACAGACAAATTCAATGGGACCATTAGTTTTTTTTACCATATGCTCTGTTCGTTGAATGTCTTTTGCTGTGGTTTTCACTGACGCATTCGACAAGTCACACATGGAGCAAAGAAGATCTAGGTAGGTCCTTGCTTGCTCTTGCAAAGCTCTGAAGTGTTTAACCTGAAAAGAGGCAATTATCAGAGTGAAAGAGATGCATGGTCTATTTAGACAGCAAATATTTGTGCTGTTTGTAATATTTTAGTGACATTTCAAAAATAATCCTGCTATGCTCAGTGTTTCCACCATCGTCGTAAAGCGACATGTATTAGTGACTCACAGGAAAGAATCCAAAACACATTGACATGGATCTATTTGTCCACCATCTGCTTCTCATTGTAATTACAGTCTTCTGTATAGTCTGGGAAAGAGGAAAACCCAAGAAACTTCTATAATTTTTCCAGATCCTGTGCTCGCATGCTAGCTTATTGTCCATTTCGGAGAAAGAATTTGTAGCCTACTCTGGGCTGCTTCTTGACCTGTTTGTGCATATCTTAGAGACATAAGGCAAAGGTCAGAGTCAGTTTGTGGGCTTTGTTGGAGTGAGGGAAATGACAGATAGCTGGGCTTCTTTTCTCTGCAGAAAGCTCATCTAGTGTTCTTCCCTTTCCACAATCCCAAGAAAGGCTTCTCCAAGTGCATATTTAATCTATTCACAGAAACACAGAAAAATGTGTTTCTTTGCAGATGCTCAGGGTCTGTGCAGGTTCCGTTTTAGATACCAGGCATAAAGCAGTCTGCAAAACCCGTGCTCCCATGGCATGTGCATTCTTACGAGAGAGATAGATGATATATAAACAAACGAATAAGCAGTAGAATGTTTGGTTGTGCTAAATACCATGTAGAAAAGTCAAAATGCTAAGGGGTAGAGTTTGAGGAAGCAGCA